CTTTCTTTCATTCATTTGTACATAGCTGCCACTTACAGCAGATGAATCCAGAAGCAGTTAATAGCAAACCTCCAAGCTGTCATACAATGTCTGTTTTCTGTGGTTGCATTTTGTTTAGAGACTGGGTCTTCCTTGGAACTATTCTCGGTGGAGCAGTGTTAACATCAGTTTGTTAAACAATTTGCTTTCCATTGCTAATCTGTGGATACTTGCCATAGGAAATTTAACATTGTGTGTTATTTCTAAACTACTGCTAAAAAAGGTGTCCCGTGAGTCCGTCTAGTACTTAAGAATGGCATAAATCAGGGGTAGGCAACCTATGCCACACGTGCCGAAGGCAGCACGCGAGCTGATTGTCAGTGGCACTCACACTGCCCGGGTCCTGGCCACTGGTCCGGGGGGCTCTGCATTTTAATTTAATTTTAAATGAAGCTTCTTAAACACTTTAGAAACCTTATTTACTTTACATACAACAATAGTTTAGTTCTATATTATAGACTTATAGAAAGAGACCTTCTAAAAACATTAACATGTATTACTGGCACGCGAAACCTTAAGTTAGAGTGAATAAATGAAGACTCAGCACAGAACTTCTGAAAGGTTGCCGACCCCTGGCATAAATGAATCTGCTATATAATGATATGTTTGACATTTCTACAGGAATTTAGGATTTCTCACATAATACTGGGAGTGTACAAAACGTGGAACAACATGGAACAATAAAATCTTTATTGAAAACTAGGTTTTGATTTTTAAAACCTACTGATATCAAAAGTAACATATCAAATCAGATTATTAATAATACTCATGAAATATGCAACGGCATTAGTAAGAAAGCCTTAAAACTATAAAGGCTCAATCCTGCTCCCATTGAAATCAATGCTCAGACTCTATTCATGACTACTATGTGTTCAGGATTGGGTCTTAACTGGATCAAAAGTTAAAGATGGAAGTGTCTCTTGCGGGGTTTGTTTGTTTGTTTTTTTGGTTTGGTTTGTAAATTGAATAATGCTTTGATTAGTTTCTGTGTTATGGTGATAGTTTGTTCAGGAAGGACCTGCACAAATATGTTGTATTTAGAGTGTTCTTGTGTACATTCTCTCTAAAAACTCACAAGAAGTTTGCTAATATTTGTTGCTAGTAGGGGGCTATGGACTACCACAAAGAGCCTATTACTATGCTAACGTAAATATCATTATACATACCATTACATTAAAAGACCATTATTAAGGCTGCAAAGTCAAGCATTCAAAACTTAGGTCACATCTACACTACAGCTGGGATTGACGCTCTGAGGCTAGGTCTACACTACCCGCCTGAATCGGCAGGTAGAAATCGACCTCTCGGGGATCGATTTATCGCGTCCCGACGGGACGCGACAATCGATCCCCGAATCGACGCTCTTACTCCACCAGCGGAGGTGGGAGTAAGCGCCGTCGACAGAAAGCCGCAGAAGTCGATTTTGCCGCTGTCCTCACAGCGGGGTAAGTCGGCTGCGATACGTCGAATTCAGCTACGCTATTCACGTAGCTGAATTTGCGTATCTTAAATCGACTCCCCCCTGTAGTGTAGATGTACCCTGAGATCGATCCACCGGCAGTCGATTTAGCGGATCTAGTGAAGACCCGCCAAATCGACAGCAGATCACTCTCCAGTCAACCCCTGTACTTTACCCCTGACCAGAAGAGTAAGTCAAGTCGACAGGAGAGTTTCTCCAGTCGACCCCCTGCAGTGTAGACCCTAAGGTACGTCAACTCCAGCAACATTATTTGTGTAGCGTAGTCAACTTCCTGTGGTAGTGTAGATGTAGCCTTAGAAAAGTCAAGAATTAAGCTTGCCTGTGCAGTGTTAATTTAGCTCCCTTGTGTTTATGCATTATGATACAGTCCTTAATTTCATGATCATAAATTATCTTTTTTCTACAGGACCCCATCTCCTTCAGAGCACAGGAAAGCTAGTGCTCACTTAAGGACCTGCTATTCAATATTTTCTTTTCTCCTCCATTGTTCAATGTGTTACTCCAGGCATTATTTACTACTCCCTCCCCCACCTCCCATTTCCCTTACTGGCTTTTTCTACTTCTTCAGTCTCCCCTCCTCACCAACTCCCAGTCTTCCCCAAAATCCTTGTCCCAAACTGCTCCTTTCCCTCCCCTCACCCCTAATTCACAACTTTATCTCTTCTGTATTCAAATTGGATGGCTTCTTCTTCTTCCATGTTTGCTGGATGCCAGCAGGAGGGTCATAAAAGAGAGAGGCTTCCTGTTCTCGGTTCCAGTGTCTGACCCAGAGCAGCTGGGAGCAGTAATTACAAGGAAAGTCTTTCTGATTTCCCCCATGTACAGTCAAGTCACACATAGAAGTTGAGAGGCTGGAGCATGCTTCTTGAGGAGTGATTATCTGGAGATTTTAGCTGTTAAAATAAGAGGTCTCTACTGTACATATGTGAGTCTCTTTAAAACCTTGTTGCTTGGCCAATTTTGGGTGGATTTTCATGGTGAAGGCAAAAAGCATATCACTGGACACAAAGTCAACCCTCTGCAAAACTTCAGGTCCCTCCTTCAAAGCGTATGGGAGCTAAAGCATTTCAAAGAAAGTCTCAATTTTTTAACATGTAAAAATATATTTTGCCCTTGCCTCGTTCTTGGAAATGGCCTAACTCGTTTTGGCTGAAAATTCCTTTCCTCCTCCTCCTTCCCTCTCTTTCTGCCTCCCCCACCAAAAAACAAACAAAAACAACAGAACAGCATGAGGCAGATGCAATTTTGGCCCAAATGGTTAGTTTTGCAAAGTTATAAGTAAAGTTACGATTTAGTCACAGAGGTCACGGCAGTCACGGATTCCGTGACTTTACTGGACCTCTTCCACTTCAGCTGTTAGCAGCTGAAGCCGGGGCTACAGCCAGGCTGTGCATCCCTGTCCCACAGCTGCAGCCAGCTCCAGAGTGGGGGCTATGCTGGGGCCGCTTTCCCCTGCCCGGTGGCTGCAGCGGGGGCCATGTGCCCTCTTCGCGGCTTCCCAGAGCCATGTGCCCCCCCCACCGGCTGCCGCCGTGGCTTGGCAGGGACTGCATCTGGGCTTTGCGCCACTGTCCTGCAGCTGTGGCCAGCTCCAGAGCAGGGGCTGTGTGCCCCCCATGGCTGCGCCCCCCACTGTGGCTGCTGGGGCTGTGCCTCCCACCATGGCGGGGATCTCTGCCTGTCAGTCCCCTCCTCCCCCATGGTATTCCATTCCCTCACTTACTTAGCCCAGGCCCCAGTTATTTTTAGTAAAGTCACGGACAGGTCATGGGCGCTGTGAATTTTTGTTTATTGCCCGTGACCCATCTGACTTTTTTACTAAAAATAACCATGACAAAATCTTAGCTTTAGTTATAAGCAACTGAAAATAGAGTGTTATTATGGTAAGCGTAGGGAAACCTTACTATAAGCCCCATCTATAATATTGTTCATTGCTAGTAATTCAATTAAATTTATCAGAAAGTAAGCAGTCTTCAAACCTACCAAGAGAATAATCTAATAATACAGATTGTAATTTTTTTCCTTTCTTGATTAAACTTCACCCAATTATTATACTGACATAATTTTAGATAGTTCTCCTTTTTTTCTTAGTCTGTTATTTTTAATGTAAATTAAATCAGAAGCATTTGTATGTGTGCTTGTTCATTTGCCTTCTAACTTAAGGCTTGAATAGACTTGCCTCCATTATTATTATTATTATTTTTTTTTAATGGAGATATCCCATCTCCTAGAACTGGAAGGGACCTTGAAAGGTCATCAAGTCCAGCCCCCTGCCTTCACTAGCAGGACCAAGTACTGATTTTGCCCCAGATCCCTAAGTGGCCCCCTCAAGGATTGAACTCACAACCCTGGGTTTAGCAGACCAATGCTCAAACCACTGAGCTATCCCTCCCCCCCATGACATGAAGAGGGGCAGAATAGTCCAAGTCCCGCAGAGAAGGACTTGGGGCGAATAGCTCATCCTCTCCCTTTTGCAGCTGCTATGCAGATGCATTCTCATCTGCTGTAGGAGGCATAGCTGAGAGAAGTCAGATGACAAGCTGCTCTGTGAAGCATGCTCTCCTCTTAGGGCAACAGAACTTACAATTCAAAATAAAGCCTCAGAAGTTACTGCTGCCCTCATTAAATCCTCTATGGCTTTCAGACATTGCCAGAGGAATATTGGGGGAAAAAGACAGCCAATGGCAGCACGCCAAGTTTGCTAGATGTACTGCAGTTACTGTGAGAGGCCTAGATGGGAGCATCAAGTAAAGTGGATTTTATGATGTATTTTGCGTTTATTCCCACGGATCTCAGTCTCTGTGTGTTTTGGAGGCCCTGCCCACTTCTCAGACCCAGCTCTGAGAAGAGAAAGTGGTGGGTGGGTGATGGGACTCAAAACTGCCTATGTTAGATATTCCCCTGTGAGCCTGTTTTCAGAAGAAGGAAAATTTTAATTGGTTCACTTTTCAAAAACAGATAGTTTTGCTTGTCCATAAAATTTGCTGTATTTATAAAAATTTTAGACTGTGGAGATTCATAATATGACTTTTTTTTAACCAGGCAGGAAGAAAAATAGAAATGTTGTTTTGACATAGCAAAATAAAAGTGTGCTTTACCTGCTAACTTACGAACACTGTTTCTTGGACTGCATAAATTATCCCAGGTTTTAGGTTTGTAATGAAATTGTGCAAAATTATTTTGGGCCTTACTACAAATATTAGAAGGTGGTATCATGAAAGTTATCTAGAGCCCAATCCCAAGAGTCCGTATGCTGAGTATCTCTGAGGAGGCATTCATTAGCTCAGAGATGAGGCCCATAGCTAGGCAATGAGTATGCCCAATTGTTCCATCCATACACTCAGCAACTTGACTAGAGGAAATTTGGACTAGTGGGTCTTTCTAAGGGAGGGAGAATGAAAGGAGCAGAGTTGCCTCTGAGAACTGCTCCTTTAAGAGGAAATGAAAAGGAGCAGAGGACCCAACTGGATGGAAAGCCGAGGCCCTTCTGTGCATCCACAAGAGCAGTATGGGCAGTAGTTGCAGAGGAACTCTGCAAAGTGGTGGGAACCAGCATCTGTTGTTGGTTTGACGTGGGGCATCATTAATTCAGTCGTTTGGGGTAACAGTGGTGGCCAGAATTAATTGGTTAAATGGATTTATTGGAGGGAGACAATCTGTCAGAGTTGGGTTTTTTTGGTGGGGAGTCAAGATGTGACAATATAATTAAATTGGTGTGACTTTGGGGGGAGGTGTAGTTTTGAAGGGTATGGGAGCAGAGGTTTCTCCCAGGTTAAGAGGCTTTAATCCTCATATGAGGTGTTGGAAACTTTTCAATCTTTGAATGTGTTGGACTTCTTAAGAATAACTTCAGTGTAATTGAGCTTTTCAAATATGATGAAAGACTTTAAGTAGTTTTTCTTTAAATCAAACTCTGACATAACTCTGACATGTGATCTACTGATGTAAAGGGCTATTGAAGAGCCAGGTGATATTATAACAACAGTGGGAAAGACTGGCAACTCTACTTCCATCATGATATAATACAAAAAGTATGCTACCCATCCAAGCTGTGGCTACTATCTCAGTATGATGGAACATGAGGTGATGACAGTGCTGTGCCTCTGCCCATAAAGAAGCCAGAAAGGGTGAGCATTATGACGTACTCACACTGTTAGTTGAAGGTAAATATTTTGCAAAGAAGTGGGCTATTATTCATAGCTTCGTCTGAGCCAAATTGAGTCATACAAATTTGTGTGCCATAGCTATGATATGAGTGTACAGTAGCACAGGACTTTCAAATCAATAGGAAATGTTCAGCCATTATTTGAGCACTACAGTCTTGGAGATAGACTAGCCGTTTCTGTTCTATAGATGTGAGTAGCATTCCTTTTTCTTTGTGTAAAAGTTCCTTTTATAAAAGCACATACTTGTGTAATGAAGCTATTCTTCAGTAAAACTCCTACCTTTTTTTTTTATGCATCCTGAAACATTTTTACAATAGTACCAAAATATGCTTCCCAAGCCTACATTACAATCATACGATCAAAAAGCTTGCATAAACCTAGGAGTAAATATTGAACTCATTTGTATTTCCTCAATACAGAATTGATGCCTGCTTCTGCTCTGCTGAGGAAATTCTCAAAATGCGCACACATGTCAGAAGCTAATTAACAGATTTACTGCTGAAAATTGGTGAGGCTACACTGTGTTTCATATATAAAAACACAGGTTGAATTCTCATTTTAATCATGTGCATATTTGGGGGGAGGCAGGTGGAACGCTGTGGGGGGCCCCCCACAAACTGAAAGCCTTGGACGAGTGCAGAATTTCCCCCCCCCCCCAACGTGTGGCCCAGCAGGCCTCACTGGAGCTGCCCCCCCAATATAGAAGTCAAACTATACCTATGAATTTAAATGCAAAATTGAGCTGTAAATGAGATTACTCACATGCTTAAACTTACACTTGGCTTCATGTGTTTACTAGATTGGTACTGCATGGTCAGCACCTTGCAGGATCAAGCCCAAATAGTGGATGTTTTGCTCTGAGTTTCTGGCCCATCCCCAGGGCTAAATAAACCATTTTTATCAATTTTATGGACATAATTGACTAATTCCTGGTGTAATCACGATGCAGTTGTGTTGAATTTAGTAGGGTTGCTGTGGGGTGTAAGCCAGCATGGAATTCTGTTCAGTGTGTTTTACATTTAATATGATCAATATCTGGGGAAATCTTGACTTGTTGACAGTTCAGAAAATCAACACTAATTTCAACTGCTGTTGAAGCCATGTAAATACTGGCTTTTTTTTTTTTTTGTACAAGGTTGATACCACCCACTAAACTGATTGAGTCAAGATCAAAACAAAGTTATTCCACCTTAATATAAAAGTTAACACCATCTACTTGGATTAAACTAGTGAGCATTTTTAATACTGCCTAATATTTGGCTGCTTTGTTTCCACAACTTCCACATGAAGCAAATTGTGTTGATATATTTAGAATGCAGATTTCCCTACGCTATTTTGGTATTTAATTTGTGCATTGTCATGTTGCCAGCTGTACAGTTTCTGCATATGATTTTGTTGTTTTACAGATGATACAGTAAGAGCTTTTGGGGAAGGAAACTGAGATTTGTCTCAAAGATCTGTTGCAGAACAATTGAAAAGAGAAAAAGCAGAATGGACAACTTCTGAAGATTTTTATTAGAGAACAAAAATCACCTGGAAACATAAGGTGGACTTAGAGGAGTAAGAAAATTTTAAAAAGCATCCAGAAATTGGTAATTCCCTGGTTTGGCTCAAGGTCTTGGGGTAATGGATACCATTGAGACTGCAAAGCTTGAAGAGCACATGGAAGGTCAAAACAATGACACCTCAAATGGTTATGTTCGACCTACCCTATCTGTCAGTGAAGAGAGCAAAAATGGCAATACCAAACCTAAGGGTTTACCTAATGGTTTGCGAAAAGGCACAAAGAAATATCCGGACTATATTCAGATTTCTATGCCTGCTGAATCTAAGAACAAATTTCCTTTGGAATGGTGGAAAACAGGCATTGCCTTTGTGTATGCTCTCTTCAATTTAATTCTAACGACTGTCATGATCACTGTGGTTCATGAGAGGGTACCTCCCAAGGAGCTCAGTCCTCCATTGCCAGATAAATTTTTTGATTATATTGATCGTGTGAAATGGGCTTTTTCTGTATCAGAAATAAATGGAATGATACTAGTTGGATTATGGATAATCCAGTGGCTATTTCTCAGATACAAGTAAGTAGCTATATTTATCACTGCTTCTACTTAGTAACAGAATTTGCTTCTGCCGCCCTTATTCATGTTGAGTAGCACTTTTCTCTGAGTAGTTACAGTGATTTCCCAAAATGAGTATCGGTAATAGATTGTTTAAAGGAAACTTTCAGCTAGGCTCTGCACCTATATGTCGGAGTAGAGTTGGCTTGAAAACCACAATTAAGTTTCATGAGAAATGTTGAGGTTTTGAAATTTTGTTTTCCTTCTGATGCAGAATAAAAACAAGACTTTTCAGAGCAGGGACCTGAACCTTGGTCTCTCACATTCCCACAGAGCAATCACCAGGCGATTGGCTATTCTGAGATAAATCTCTGGCTAGAAATTCCATTGTGGATTTCAGAAACATTACAGATGACGTTTTCATTAAAGTGATACCATTCCCCAAAACATTTCAGTTTTAACTAAAACTGCACTCTTTGACAGAAAGTGCTGTGAGACCTTCGTACCCCTAAGTAGAGCTGATTGAAACATTTTCAATGAAATTTGTCTTTTAAATTTATGACAAGGCGCTAGACCGTTCACTAGCATTAGACTGGATGCTCGAGCTAGTCACATCTCTGAGGACATCAGCCCATCTTTCCCTCCAGATCACCTCCTGTTTCCTCAAGAAACAATCTCTATAGATACTTTAAAGGAAAACAAACTTTATTTGACATGGGATTGAAAATGAAAAGGAGATTACAAAATAACTACCAAGCAAAATAAAAACATTGCTAGGAGAACACTAGAGCTATTAAATAAGCCTGAATTTACTTATCAGCTAGTGGTTAAATGAAACAAAATCATTACATTTGCAGCAATTTCTTTCTCTCTTAACTGCAGCACACTTATGTTTCAATTTCTGTCTGTGCCTCTCTCTAAGTCCGTGTGACATGACCTAGAAAGATGAGTCCAGACATCAAATATTGTCTGTCTGTCTGTCTGTCTGTCTGTCTGTCTCAAATCTCACATGGAAGTAGTACCATTGAAACTTTGTTTTCATATTGGTTAGATCACAATTTAAAAGCTCTAATAAATTTTAAATTTAGGGTGTTAACCATTTAATGAGGCTACGCTGGAGGCACCATACCTCCCTCTCTCCTTGTGACAAGTAAATCTATCCTGCCTTCGAGTTTATGCTTGCTTTCTTCTCTCTCCCTCCCTCCTTGTTTTCAGATCAATAGTGGGACGCAGGTTCTTTTTTATAATTGGAACTTTGTACCTGTACCGCTGTATTACCATGTATGTTACCACCCTACCTGTGCCTGGAATGCATTTTCAGTGTGCTCCAAAGGTAAGAAATCTTGGTATTGGCCAAAGCTTTTATTACACCAAATACAGTATCTGAAAAAGACATATTGGTACATTCATTTATTTTAATAAAGTTAATGTTTTCTCCACATATTATATGATACTCTTCAGAGATAAGTGTGGCTCCTGGCAGGTGTCTTCATATTTTTATTTTGGTGATTGCTAGATTTTTCATTTTATTTTGGTATATTGTTGTTAGTAAGGCAGGATTTTGTGAACAGTGAGCATCTTTTAGGAGTAGAGTACTAGAACAGATTGTTTGTTTGTTTGCCCATTTTGTTCTTGGTTTTATGTACATATAGATATGTCAGGATTATTCTAGGCTAGACTTTATTTTTAAAAAAATCAGCCATCTAGGTTCATATCTTCAGAGATTTTTTTCATCTGAGACCTACATAATCTACCTTACTGTAGTTTGTCAGCTGACCTACAAACCACCTACTTGGAGGATAAGCCAGTAAAGCCTTGCGTTGCAGCTAGATTTTTTTTTTTTTTTGAGAGGCACTGGTGGCATGCTGTAAGCATGTTTGCCAGTGATGCTGTTTTGGCCAGGGCTACCGGGGGCTTCTAAATCCAGTTTGGGCAGCTGATACTCATGGCAAAAAGTATGTAAACATGGGAAAAGCAAATTCTCCCTCTAAAAAATTTAGCAAATATTTGTGCAAATTTAATTGTTTGCCAGTGGTACTTCTATTACATTTAGAGCACATCATCATTTAGTTCTGAAGACATATTTTTTTCTTTTTAGAAGACATTTAATTTAAATAGTCCACTACACGCTGGCTTGTAAATACTAGTAAAGATGTACATTATATCGTAGAATCCTAGAATGTAGGGCTGGAAAGGACCTCAAGAGAACATCTAGTCCATCCCCCTTGCTGAGGCAGGAGTACGCATACCTATACCGTACCTGAAAGATGTTTGTCTAACCTGTTCTTAAAAACCTCCAATGACAGGGATTCCACAACCTCCATATGTAACCTGTTCCAGTGCTTAACTATTCTCATAGTTACAAAGTTTTCCTAACATGAAACCTAAATCCCCCTTACTACAAACTAAGCTGATTACTGCTTCTCCTATTCTTGGTGGGCATGGAAAACAATCCATCGCCATCCTCTTTATAACAATCTTACACATGTGAAGACTGTTTATCATGACCCCTGTCAACCTTCTTTTCTCCAGACTAAACACGCCAGTTCTTTCAACCTTTCCTCATAGCCCCCGTTTTCTACATTTTTTTTAATAATTTTCGTTGCTCTCCAATGTATTAACATTTTTCTTAAAGTAAGTATATAGTAAGCAACAAATCAAAGAGTTAACTAATTAATACTGGTACATGGAGTATTGTTGTAGCCGTGTCTGTCCCAGGATATAAGAGAAACAAGGTGGGTGAGGTAATATCTTCCATTGGACCAACCTCTGTTGGCAAGATAGAAAAGCTTTTGAAAGTTTCTCTCTCACCAATAGAAGTTGGTCCAACAAAAGATATTGTCCAACACACCTTGTCTCTCTAATACTGGTACAGTAAGAAATCAAACATTTTCTTGCAAGTCAGAATATTAATTATCTGATACAGACTGAATTTTACATCGCCCCCACCCCCCAAAAATTCACACTAAAAGAATGTGAAGGTTGCTAAATCAAGCATTGAAAAGTTAGGAACCACCAGCATTAAGGATGCCTGTGCAAATCTAATTCAACCCCCACATGCTATGGAAGTAATTACATGATTCCAGCAATATGTGTGGGAGAAGCAGCAGCCCCATGGAGGCTGTTCTGTCCCCTGCAATGTGACCCAGGATGCAGGAAACGTGTGCAAAGGAGTAAGGGGGAGCATTACCTTTATGGCCCCTTTACTCGCCTGTGCAAGTGTATATAGTGGGTCATGATTTTGTCCTGTGTGATTGTCTGTTCAGAACCTTGTACTTTATATACAATCTGTGCCTAGAACCTTGCATTTCCCTGGAACCGCGGGTTAATTGAGGAAGGAACAATTTTAGCATTAGTCAAGGTGGCTTCGCTTTAACTGACAATGGAAAAAACTTTTGTCCACCTATAAATGCGTTCTTTTCATAATGTATACATCTCACAACCCAATTACAAAAGAAAAAACTGTTCATAAGATTTAACAAATACACAATAGCAGCTCTTTTTGGTTCACTGACTAGAGATACCCAAGTAGGCCTTGGCAAAACTGAGTGTAATATCTCCAAAGAAGTTATATTTTTATGTACACAAAAATTTGTTTGCATATTATAAAATAAAGTTATTTTTGTTTGATTGTTTATACAGTATTGACATGGGATAGAAATCTGCTTATGCTATCTGTCTCGGAGAGTACCCACTTCACAAATTACATCCCTTATTTTTAGTTCAGACCATGTCAAATTTAAAATGCTGCCCTAAGTAAAACAGATGCAGATTTCTTCAATAAGTCATGGGTCTGAATTTTAAATGTATAAAAATAAGCAATACCACAATGCTTGGAAGAAGTATAGAATAAAGAATGAAAACACCAAACTATCAACATCAAGCAAATTTAAAAAGCGGAAAAAAAATTGATAAATTTTCCTAGTATAGGCAGGACCAAACACAGTACCACACATTACAAACACCGTAATGTGTGATCACTGGAGGTCTCCTAGCCAAGTACAGACTAGATTTAATTCTGCTTAGTTTGAGAATTTTGAGAAGTTTACACACCATGATTGCAATTTTAATCTCAGTGAAATATTCTGTATTATGTATATATGAAATGTTAAATTATTTTACTAAAATTATTCTGGTACCTAATTGTATGTGACGATGGTGGAGAACTGGCTTAGGTTTCTGTTATGATAACTCCAGGTTGCCAAACTAAGATTCCATAGCCACTTTAAAAAGATTTCTTTATTGACATGTTAAGGACTGTTGAATTGTTGCTTTTTGGAAGTTTTTTCTAATACTAACATTGGCACGTTGCAGCATCTACAGAATTTGTATTTTAAATTGTACATTTCTGATTTTTGCTTTCAATATTCATCCCATCCCTGAATGCTGCAATTAAAATTGGATATATGGCAATTTAAAAACAGACTTTATCCTATCAAGTATCACAGAACAAACATTAGAACCACTCAGGGGACAGCTTTGAAGGAATAGAATTTCTCACTAGCAACTCAGTTCAATGAATTAATATTTCATGGCTATTCTAGAGATGGGGGGCATATTCATTCTTGATGTAATTGCTTTGTCTTAATTGGAGTTAAACCAGGGATGAACTTGTCTGGGGAGTATATATTAAAATGTATGACTCTGGCACACTCTAGAGCTTTACAAAATTTGGTTGATTGGTTTGCAGTGCTTGAATCACTTCTTCAGTTTTGATTCTGGTGGATTCATGTCTTCCCTTAGCCCCTCCCTCCCCCCAGCCCACAACAAGTTAATCTTAGTGAAAACTGATATGAAACTGAGCGTTTGCACAGTATCAGTAAGAAAATATAAATCAGCCCAAGTGTATTTGAAAAGTCTATAAACATGCCAACAAACCTAGGCTGACTTTTGACTATTTAACTAAGCCCCAAATTAGTTTGAAGTCTTGATTTGTGAACACTTTACTCCACTCTGGACAAAGAGTGAATGACTTGCATGTAACACCTCACACAATGATAATTTATATTGGTTCTGTTAGAATAATTTCTCACAGTTCAGGGCAACTGAACCTGTATTCCCCTTAGTGGTCCAGCAAGGGCACGCACTCTCAGGCTTCCAGGCCCCTAGCCATTGCCTCTCTTTGGTAGAGACCTGTGTCTCTCTCCATCCTGACCAGGGCATTTCCAGGCTGCACAGTCCCTTGACTATACTGTGATATCCCCAGCAAAAGACAAGCTGCCTAAGCAGGCTTCTCCTGCTTTCTCTTCAGAGACTACTAACCGTAATTGCCAACAGTTGTAAGTTACCACATAGCACTTCCTATGAAAGCATATTTGTTCTTATGGTAAAAGCATTACAGAGAAAACATATTAAAATAATAAAAGAACCTACACACATGCTAATAAGGTTACCAGAGATCACTCCACTGCCTCTAACATGGGCTGTGACAGGTCAGTCCTTCAAACCTCCCAAAGGTGTCTCTTTTGTGGTCACAAGTTCATAACAGCTTCAGTTCAGAACCCTGTCTTATGAGGCCTCAGTAGGCCAAGTCCTTCCAACCCTTCCCTAAAGATTTGGACCCTCCATGGACCAGAGTTCCTGTCTGTTTGCTGGATCAGGAAGAAACCCCTGAGTCAGCTTAAACTCAGGCTAGTTATTCAAAAGTCTTCTCTTTGTTGCTCCCTGGAGAAACCAAACTGGGTCTTTGAACTGTCCTCAGAGCAACAGGTGATCAGCAGACAAAGTCTCCTGTTTAGGACGAAGCTTCAAAGGCTGAGTTCATAGGTACTTCACACACACTGACCCAAAAGATCGATCATGTCTGCTATATTGTTTAACATAGTCTTTTGAAGTTCATGATATCTCCTTGTTCCTCCTAAAAATTCAATAAGGTTTAACTTAACTCCATAAGGTTGGTCCAGGATATTGCAGATACTGTCATATCTGTGTCACTATTCTTGAAAGAGATCTGTTTGAGCACACAAATGACAAATATGTAATATGCACTTACACAATTCTTAATGTGTCCACTCTTTTGAAATATACTGATCAATATTATATAATGCATATAGAAAGCTTTGTGGTTATTTTTATGAAGGACGTGCACATTTTGATTGGGAAAACAAACAAAAAGGTTTAAAATCCAGCAAAGCATATCCTAGTCCACGGATCGGCAACCTTTGGCACGCGGCCCGCCAGGGTAAGCACCGTGGAGGGCTGGGCCAGTTTGTTTACCTGCTGTGTCCGCAGGTTTGGCTGATGGTGGCTCCCACTGGCCGCAGTTCGCCATCCCAGGCCAATGGGGGCTGCAGGAAGGGCGGCCAGCACATCCCTCAGCCTGCGCCGCTTCCCGCTGCCATCAGCCGAACCTGCGGACGCAGCAGGTAAACAAACTGGCCCGACCCGCCAGGATGCTTACCCTGGCAGGCCATGTGCCAAAGGTTGCCGATTCCTGTCTTAGTCTAATCCTGTAATGCCCACCCTTGGTTGTTGAAAGATTTTTCTGGTAAACATGCTATTATCTTTGAGAAATACATAGACAATAGACAAAGAAAATTCAGATGTTTTAGTAGATAGAGCTTTTCATTATTATATTTTTAAGCACAAATTGACTTCAACTTCTTGTCCAAACATATATGTTCTTCATCATCTTGAATTTTTCTCCATTCCCAGTTGAATGGAGATTCACAGGCTAAGGTGCAGAGGATCCTACGATTGATTTCTGGTGGTGGTCTGTCCATAACTGGATCACACATCTTATGTGGAGACTTCCTGTTCAGCGGTCACACAGTAGTGCTAACACTCAGCTACCTGTTTATCAAGGAATGTAAGTTACAGTATTTGAATACAATTGTGTTGCTGATGCCTGTGTTACAAGAAGATCACTTAAGCTAAAACCACTTTGTTGCATTCATTCATGTTTTATTTTTTTTACAATATAAAATAAATGGCAAAACTGCAATACACAGTTTGACAAAATGCACTTGACCCTTCCAGAGGGTGGCTTCTGGAATGAGAAGTACCACTGGCAAACATCTGTGTGTTTTGGGAGACTGATGATGTGGGAGGGGGATGGTGAAGGTAAGGTTGAGAGAGGGGCTGAATCAGCTAGGTGCACAAAGTGACTATCCGTCTTTACCTCAAACAGAAGTGATATCAGAAAATAATCCTCTAGTTAATGATTTGAGAGAGAAAGAGAAATGACTCCCCTTGCTTCAATGGGAGTTATGCCTGCCTACCCCAGTGCTGAATTTGGTACTGAGTTTGGCTTGCACAATGGAGGATACTTTTTTATAAACCTTTAAAACCTCATTTTACAATGGTCTGTCAAAAATCCAGCTCCTAAGGGCAGTGGGGAACTCAGTGGCTTCTGGAGTCTCCCAGTATGAGTTTCAAGATTATGTAACTGAGGACCAGACTGTAAGCTGTAATATGCAGCATGCACTACTCGGACCTCAATAATTTGGCTACTTGTTTGGCCATGTGTCAGTGCAGTAGCATTTTCTTTTAAATGCATGCATGGCATGTATCTTAAAATTAGAATCTGTCCCTATTTCATTGCTGATTTCCTGAGCGCTTTGATTGCAGCATTAGACTTCATTAAATTATTTTTCTAACTTCAGCATACAGGATAACTTAAAACATTCTTCTTTGTAACAAAAGAATGTCCCATCACTTGATGATGAGGCAAACAATGTTACTTGACAGTGTAAAGAGAGACCGAGAACTTCCATGTGGACATAAGACCTGTTATTTCTTTAAACAACAAAGGAGTATAGCATGGTGCCTATTAAGTCTAAGTCTTTGTACTATGAAATTTTCTGGCATTGTATTGTGTGTAATTAATAAATCAAAACTGCTAGAAGAACAGATGGCAGTCAGCCTAATGTTCCATGAGTAGGTGGCAACAGGATTTCCTGCTTTCTGTTTTATTAATTTTGTATGTATGTGTGTTATCACAGCTTAACATTGGTCATTTAAGTCTTATCCTGTAATATATGCCACAGACAAGATATATTTAACTCTTCTTTTTAAAGATTTTTTGGTACAGTAGCATAATTCAGATATCTTTAAATAGCAGGGTACGGGTGGGGGAGAATAACAAGCAGACTGTACCTATAATAAGCTTTGTAAATGCTGCCTAAGAATTGGCCATGTATCCCATCTGAATTCCTCTGCTTTGTAATCAAAGTGCTCTGTACATCAGAAGTGCATAAAGTACCCATTTCTATTTCCTGTGTAATTAGGAAAATGTAGTTTTCTAAGCAATAGCATATACTATATCATTGTTTTGAATTAGAGGTTACTTGCAATATGCTCTGCTGCTCTCTTTGATCAGGCATGTTTCTTGTGTGAGAGACCTTGTTTATTTCTAGGTGTAGTTTTTTCCCCCCTCTGCTGTGCCCTATCCTCCCATCTTTGGCTATTGTCAGCTCATTTTACTCAGAGGCAGGAAAGGCCAGGGGGGCTTTCTGCTGACCCCATGATTCTTTCTCGCAGAACGGGAAAATATACTAGTGTGGAGTATTACTTCTGCGTGGAGCTTGCTTCCTCAACTAAATGACAGGATGTGACTCAAAATCCTGGTCCACAAATCAGTGGGGTGGACTCAGCCTTAGCATTTTTGGGGGGATTCTATGATGTTTTTCAGTTTTCCCCCCTTCCTCCAAAACATAACTGAGTCCTGACTACAGTGACTAGGTAACACTATGCACAGGGCCAGCCTCTTTGAGTAAGATTACTGATATAGTATTTATGGTACCCCAAACCTAACACTTATTTTACATAAAAAGTGGGGTGGGAATCTTAGGGGGTCCACCACCAGCCTCCCACTCCAGGGGAAGTGTAGCCCAGCTGCTTGTCATGATGTCCATAGTTGCCAACATCAAAAGCATTTTTCAAGGTAAAATTTCCAGCTAAACTGCAAGACTGCCAGCTGCTCGGGAGTTGTGGGCATTCTGGATAACTTTAGCACTTGCATACTGCTTCACAAACATTGACAAATTAATCATCACAATGTACTCCCATATGTGGTATACAAGCCCCATTTCACAGACCAGGATACTAATTTAGAAAAAAAGTTATGTGGCTTAACTAAAACCACAGATCATGTCAGATCTGGAATTAGAGGCCTGGAGTTCCTTGCTCCCAGTTCCACATCTATCCCACTAGAATAGATTGCCTCTTACGCTATTGAGCTTACTCCTGTTGTGGCCAGAAGCCATTTTGGATGTTAAGTAGAAGAGCAGTTTCAGTTGAAGGTAGCTGGCTGGGAGGCATCTTTCAATTAACATCCAAAACAGGAGCTTGGACAGTACCACCCACCCTCAGCTGTGAATTGGTCTTGGTTCCTCTCTCCACAAAATGGTGGAAGGACTCTGAATTAGACCACGATCTTTAGGGAAAATTACAGTGACAAACTTTTGAGTCTTGGTGGTCAACTTTTGGTCCTTTCTTTGGTAATATGAACTAAAAAACATTTTAAAAATGAAAGCTTAGATTAGTCTTAACCTTCATAGGTCCCTCAACTGAAAGTCTATGGGTCCTAATGGCCGTATTTCAGCAGATGATACCTCTGCATCAGTAAACTTTCTAAGTTGTTCAAAGTGCATTTTTACTAAAGCAGAGGTTTTTTTCTCTCTCTCTCCATACCCACACACATCACATAGGTTCAAATTTAACTTTAGAAGTTAATCTTGGATATTTATAGAAACGTATAATTCTCTCCTTTTGACAGACTCACCTCGCCACTTTTGGTGGTATCATTTGATCTGCTGGTTGATGAGTGCCGCTGGTATAATCTGCATTCTTGTTGCCCATGAACACTACACTGTGGATGTTATCGTTGCTTATTATATCACCACAAGGCTCTTCTGGTGGTACCACTCAATGGCTAATGAAAAGGTGAGTGCAAAGGATATATATAGAGTGTGTGTGTGTGTGTGTGTATAAACGCTATAAACCCAATAATGGCCTCTCCTTGTAAATTCCACAGAAAAGGTCATAATGGCCTTAAAATTAGTAGATTAGATCTGGGGCAAAAATAGAATTTTTCTAAAGAAATTGAAGCACAAGTTTAAAGTTAAGCAGATGCTTATGTGCTTTCCTGAATTGGGGCCCATGTTAAGAAGAAATAATCTGTCACAGGGCTGGCTCTGGTTTTTTGGCCGCCCTAAGCAGCACAAAAAAACCCCAAAAAAACCCTGCAGCGCGGGTGCAGGGGAACCAGCTGGGGGAGAGGATGGGGGGAGCGGGCGGGAGAGAGAGAAGGGGGCGACCAGGGCTACAGCAGGGGTGCTGCCACGTGACCCCTCCTGCTGCGCTGCCTCCTGCCACGAGGGCTCTGCTCCGGACGGCGTGGAGGAAAGGAAGAGGACTGCCCTGTAGGGCGCTCTGGTTCTCCGCGCCGCTGCCGCCCCTACAGGGCAGCCGGAGCGGAACAAAAAAAAAATAAAAAAGTGGCCGTGCCGCCCTAGGAATGGATGGAATGCCGCCTTGAACAATCTGCCACCCCAAGCACCAGCTGGTGCCTGGAGCCAGCCCTGTCTGTCATTTCTGGCATGCATATGTTTTTAAGATCTAACTTCTTTCTAAACATGAATACTTTATCACTGTTTTAGGTAGATAGGATAGGCCACACCATATCTTAATTAGTGAATAGTAGCTACTAACATTATTAGAGCTCTTAAATTACCCAGTCTTTTAAAAAATTCCAGTTACATTTCCTGCAGTAAATTGGACAAAGGTTGGCTATATCCTCTTTTTCTTTTTTTTTTATTATTCCTTCTGTTGGCTTTAAATATACTTCTTTTCAATTTGAGTCTCCTATTTATTCTTTTTGTGTGTGATATGTTAGAAAGAAAGTTCAGTTCTCACTATGGAATACTCAAGTCACATCTAACTGTTTTCCTTTCCAGGTTAAATAAACTTACTATTTGCAGAATTTCATTCAAATATACTGTAATTGTCATACTCTTCTTTATGATTCAGCTAATGTGATTGGTTCTACTGTCTAAACTTGTTAAATTGTTTCTCCACATTCTCCTTCCCCTTCTTCCCCCTTTCCCCCCAATATAGAACTTGAAGATCTCTTCACAGACTAATTTTCTTTCTCGAGCATGGTGGTATCCGATATTTTATTTCTTTGAGAAGAATATACAAGGCTCAGTTCCTTGCTGCTTCTCATGGCCAATATCTTGGCCTCCCAGCTGCTTCAAATCTTCATGCAAAAAATATTCGCGGGTTCAGAAGACAGGAGAGGACAATGAAAAATCCACCTGAAAGAAAGATGAAGAAAGGAAAGAAATCATTTGCTCTTTATTTTACCAAAACAGTAATGCTATAACCAAAGTTCTTAAAAGGACTAGATTGTAAGGGAATAGGTGGACCAAATTCTTGTGCAATTGTACAAGACAATTGTAGGCAAAATATAACACCCCTTGATGTGTTTTCTATTCATAACATTGTACAAGGCTATTCTACTCTTCAGTACTAGGAGTGCACCACAGATAGGATTTTTTCCTGAGAAAGAAAAGAAGCAGGAGTTTGGTTTACTTATGAGATTGAGATGCCAAAGAACACACCACACCTTTCGTTATTAATTATCACTCATCCACAAAAATCGCATCTGTAGAGTTCTGGAGTTTGAGGGCAAAAGCTTACTAAAATTTGAAGTTACAATATCTGTCTACAATGGTGGGAAGTGGTTTACTCTATTCTTCTTGCTAATGAAGGTAAGACTTATGATATATGACTGGTGAAGCCGGAAGTGAGCCTTGACATTTTATGTTCTATGGGAATGAATGTACTATGACCCTGAAGTACTCCCACCTCCCAGGTACTCTGATATACCAGTTTTTACATTTTGTATTGGTAATTTTTATATTTAAAAAAAACTTAAAAAAAAAGAAACAACCTAGACAAAGAAA